TCTGTAGAATTGTTTAAGATTTGTCAAAAATAATCGATTTCTTTTTTATTTGTTGATAGTAGTATAGAGGGCTTGTTTAACCATTGTTCAAAGGTAACTCTTGCCTTCCGGTAATAGACCAGATAAACCGGGGTTTTAGGTTTTTTGCAGGTATATTCTGTATCTCCTGTATATCCAAATTTCCTGTAATATCATCCAAAATCTCTATGTAAAATTTGGATAGTTATTAGTTTATACAAAACTACTTGTGGGAATAAGAGTTTTAACAATAGTTTAATCTTGTAGACCAGGTCCTACTATTTATACCATAGCAAAAAGGCGGGTTTACATAATTCCTATTATTACTAGTAGATCTTTTCTTTAAAGGTGTATATAATCGATTTTACCTCATTATAAATAGATTAGAATACTGATCCAGTATCCCAGCTAAGTTTCTTAACGCTTAGGTCAGCGAAATGATTAATTACCTTATTTCTTTCAATACTTTCATATCCTAGTAATCATTTGATATAAATATCGTAATCCTTCATAACCTTATAACATTTGTTGAATACCCATTGTAATAATATAAAGGCATTAGTCCTTATACCCCAAATAACCAAAATATTATCGATGTACATCCAGATTTTCTGGTTAATGTATCTGGTATCCTTAAGGATATATTCCAGGCCTTTTTATACTCCAATAACTTCTATATTGAAGATATAAGACTAGGTATTGATAAAGCCGAAATCTGCTAATATCTGGTTCTTACCTAGGTATATTACATACCCGTAACCCACAATATGTTTTCCTTTCATATGATTTTCCGATTTATCCAAGAAAATGATGATATCTGTGTCTGACAGGTTTTTCTATTAGATATTGAAGGCTTTTGCAACTGTTTTCTTGTCGATCTTTTCTATTAGATCTATTCGATAGCTAGTTGTATACTGTGATAACTCGAGTATAAACCTTGGGATTGGGGAAACAAAAAGACCAAGTTGTTAGATTTTGGTCTTTGTTTTTTATCTTGAACCCATATCTCGCTTTTTGATAATTATAAAGGATTCGATTCTTTTCGTAAACAAATAGATTATATCTATGTTTTGGAGGTGTAGAGCAAACCTCAGTTTGACTTCTTTAAAGACTACCATGGCTGAGGGGAGACCTGTTTTATAATAAAGGACAATCACTAATGTAGTTTTCTAAACCAGTATAACTTCTTATATTACTATTATAAAAACCTTTTCGATTTATATCACATACTAGCCAAAGCAGATATTGATCTTTATCTATCCTGTTTTTAATCTATATACAGCTTTGAACCTGCTGTTGTATCAGGCCTCAATCCTATATAGGAGTGAGGATAATACATATATCATTATTGCCTTAACG